GAAACTGCATGTCCCGGGCGTCGGGCGATAGGAATTCCACACCCCTGATATATATATATATATATAAATATATTTGTGTGTGTGTGTGAAAAATCCCAACCAACATGCTTAGAGTCCCAACATAAGTATACATACCTGATTGTCTGTCGAGGATCTTGTAAAGCACTGTAGCAGCCTGATATACTGCAGTGCTTTACAGCAATCTTCCATGTCCTTTATATTGCTGAGTGGCTTCTGCTCTGCTTTAAAAACAGGGTCCAATCGGAAAATGGCCAGTAAATTTATCAGTGAATACAAGGCATTCTATGATTGGATGAGAGGCTGATGATGATGTCACTGCCCCTCATCCAATCAGAGAATGGCTTGTATTCATGCAAACATTTAAAAAAATGTTTGCTTGTGCCACAGAGCATCTGGAAGATCCACACTTTATAGTTCTACATGGTTTGGGCACCAAATATTTGCTGTATACAAGCTGAAATATTGTTAAGAAGTGTGGGTAAGGTTTATATATGCTTCTCAGCGTGCAGTAGAAAGTAAGCACCAGTGGTATGGGTCATTCTACGACCTTAATTACAAATGTTATGCTGCAAATGTATCTGTTGCACCTGTACAACTCCTAATAGTACTAAATGATGGCCATACATTACTGGGGAGAACGTATGCACCAGCTGTATGGGTCATATGGGATGACACTACGGCCCTATTTAAAAATGTAACAACCTCCGTTAGAGCTAAATTATGGCCATACAATACTAGATAGAGAACACAATCAAGAAGCTAAGGTTTACAAGTCAGGATCTACACAGATAAGAATCTTACTTTCGAAATGCTGATATACCCCAAACACTGGCATTTTTTTGTAAATGTACATATGATGTAACTTACTCATATATTTAACACTTACCATCTTTCCAATCATAGTTATGTAAGGTCCAGCCTGCTGGTTTACTGCAAAAAAATCTAGGAGTTGTGTGTACCAAAATATGATATCCAGAGAGTAGATTATCCTCCCTGCAGTTTGGAGAGGTGGGTCAGCCCAGCGCAAGGCAAAGCCAATTACAAATAAAATAATTGCAATGGAGTCTATCAGATTCCAGTATTCATGAAGCCACACTTTGATTTTCTGACTGAATTTTCCAGGTTCAGACATAAAAACCTAAAGAGAGAAGAAAGGTGAGGATAAGCAGGTATGCCAAAAATATCAGCATTCCTAATGCATAACATGTGAAAAGATCAAAGTTAAAGTTGCGATGCCGATCTGCCCTGGAACAGCGGAGAAAGTGTTGGAATGCTTCACCTATTCCACCGCCGAAAAACTGGGCGAGATTACGTTAAAATGTGTGACCACGTCACTGGTCACACATTCTGACGTAGTCTCAAACTTTGATAGAACAGAGGCCTGTCTGTAATAAATTAATTAGAGAAATAGATTATAATAGGGAACATTACAGTGTAATATACCCCATTATAATCCACTTGTCTAATTACATGAAAAAGCAGTACACAATAACAAAATTGTATCCTTTTTGTATATCACTCAGCTGTAGACCCTCAAATTATCTCTGAGTTGGTGCTGACACTGTCCTTCCTTCTGGAGGGTGGCTACTTTTGTTCCCCATGGTCCCTGTGTGTGTTGTAAAGTAGTCACCGTTCCAAGCTTACTCCTGTGATGGACTACAATCTCATGTTTAGTTTACTAATTTGTATTGAGATTGTAGTCCATAACGGGACTGAGCTTGGAGCGGTGACTACTTTACAACACACACAGGGACCATGGGGAACAAAAGTAGCCACCCTCCAGAAGGAAGGACAGTGTCAGCACCAATTCAGAGATGATTTGAGGATCTACAGCTGAGTGATACACAAATAAGATAATTTTTTTGTTAATAGTTAAAGTACTTGAATGCATTTTTAGGATCTAACTATTGAGTTTAGTGTCACTTTCAAGTTATGAAATGGAATGGTTTGGTTTACAGCTGGTGCTCAAACTTTACATTTCGAAAGACCTTTTTCAACCACTTCCATGTTATTGATTTACTGTTAAACTGAAGTGGCACTTTCAAGTTACAAGTCACTTTAAAATGATAGAATGACGTTCATGCTTATATTTTAGGAGTAGTAATGCCATTGCTAATATTTGGAATACAATGTTGTCACTTGAGTCTGGTCTCTTTGCTTATATTGAAAGTAGGGCTGTGCAAATTAACAATTAATTTCTCGATAAATCGTTAATCTTTTTGATCGATTAAAAAATTTTTGATCCATTAAATTTTTTTTGAAGCTTTCTGCACGAGCGCCAGCCAAGGCATTGGCCTATACACATACAGCACAGCAAATGAACTAGGATCACACTAATCCAGCACGTTATTATTCTGAGTTGCCCCACTCAAGCGGCGGCCATATTGAGTGGGGCACGTGAGATTAATAACGTGCTGGATTAGTGTGATCCTAGTTCATTTTATTACTTCATTGCTGTGCTGTATGTGTATAGGCCAATGTAGTTGGATCTGTACGTGCGTTACTATAAATCGAAATTAATCGATTAAAAAGAATTTCGATTAATCGAACACAAAACTTTTAATCAGTAACATCCCTAATTGAAAGGCTTTAATTTTTATCAGTAAAGCTAAAACATGTGTGGCAATAAAAATCATCTCATAGTACATGTTTCAAATTGAAACTGTACATAATAATATATACTGTAAACCCTTACTGTGAACCAAAAAAGAAAAAATCCAAAGTCAAATCTAAGTTCATAGATCTGTAAAAAGCCAACAGTGATGGAATTTCTCTGTGACCTCTGCAACCTCTAATATTCTTAGAGCGGAAAGTACTCTGCATGACTTATTACTCATCCTAATTATGGAAATATATGAACACAGATTTTGTCATACGACCAGAACTATCATTAGCCCCAGTAGTTATATTTTGTAAACCCATCAAAAATCCTCTTTGTTTAAGCTATTAAAAAGTGAAACATTTAGTGAACTAAAGAAATCACTTAGAAAACACTCCCTCTATTTAATTAAATCTACTTCAAATAGCATTGGCAACCACGCAATAATATATTAGCACAGAATTCACACACTTTTTACTACTATGCAGACACATAATGTCACACTTTATTTACTAAAGAAACAAACTGACTGAGAACACGTTGTGAACATGTATTAGCCCTAAAGGGGTGGTTTAATAAGTATGTGCACAAGCATGGGCACCAGGAAGTCCTGCATCATAATATAACCAATTATTCTGTGTACGATCCTAGTGATAAGAATGGAACACAGACATTATACAGTAACAGCTCATACCAATTACCTGATAACATCTAAAATGAACACCTTTGCAAAATTAACTCAAAACGTTTCAGAGTCTACTTGCAAACAGATGCTGAATGTGCTGAAAGGTATAAAAAAAAGCCTCTACAAATAAACACAACTTGCAAATTGACAGAAAAACCCAGGCATGCTCAATTGACCTGATTAACCCCTTAGTGACACAGCTTTAGAAAATGTTTTCGTTCATGGGGACCGGAGCAATTTTGCCATTTTTGCTATGTGTTTGTTTAACCATAATTTCCATCTTTCTTCATTTATTGCACCTACACATATTATATACCATTTTTTAAAGGACAAATCTGAATTTTAATTTGAAGTGATATATGCATATATAAATGCTCATTTTAAAAAAAAGTGCAAAAAAAACATTTTTTCAGACTTTTTTTTCACAGTTTTGGCAATAATAATGTGTATATAATTAGTGTAGCTAACAGAGAGTAATTCATAGTAAATTCAAATTTTCCTGATTTATAGGGTATACCATATGTCTGGGATTTCAGTTTATTTTGGGAGTATTCATCACTCTTCTAATTTGTGTATTAAATATATATTTTTTGAACTTTTATCCTTTTTTAAAAACATTTTGTTGAACTCAATTGACTTTTTTCAAACTAACTATGTAACTAAAAACTTTTTCTTTTTTTTTTTAATGTCGAGCCGAAGGCATATGCCTCGGCTCGGCTGAGCCGCACTGAAAGCCGAAAGCCTGCTTCTGACAGCTGGGCGGAGCCAGCCGTGATCTTACGGCTGGCTCAGGCCACTTGCAGAGAGATCAGCGTCCCTGGTTACCTGTTAACCAGGGACACTGATATCCAGACAGCTAACTATCCCTGGCGCTCCAGGAGTCTCCCGCTCCCGGCCGCCAAGGAAAGAAACACTGCTGTTCCTTTTTTTTTAATTCTGACACGGAGCCGTGTCAGAATAGAAAAAAAATATTTTATTTTTTTTGCCCATTGGAATGCATTGCTAGATTCCTATTGGCTATTTCAATTTGCAATAGCCAATAGTAAACTAGCATTGTACCCGCCCTCTGCTGCAGTTCTTAATCAGGTCCATCAGCAGAGGACGGGCACAATGCTAGTTTACTACCGAGCAGAACAGCCGAGCCGAATGCCGCTCAGCGGCATACGGCTATTCACTCACTGCTGTTCGGCATCTATAAGAATAGCCCAAACAGCAGCGCGCAGCCTGCTGGAGGTTCGGCTCAGCCGATCCAGAGAGTTCAGTATTAATGTTCAGCTCCACAAAGTCTTTACAGGCCCTTTGTGAGACAAAGCTATTGCGATAATAAGGCTCCCAAAGAGTGGCCCCTATAGTTTCTTTAATGTTTAGTGATTAGGTAATTTTACTCTACAAATGACAACATGGCTATGAAAAAGATATGATCACATAAAGGATAAAAAGAATCCAGAAGACATATATTAAAAATTACAGCTAATGCTCAACTTTTTGAGATTTTTCTATTGCTGCTCATTAAAGCCCAGGGCACTGGTACACAAACTGTGCTGAATTATAGTAGGACATCATGTAACATAACAGTTTTTTCTAAGTGGAATCCCATACAAGGACAAAGTGTTATTAATAGTTAATATTTCAGGTGTTTCTTAAAAACTCACCTCTCTGACCTTCTCAATACCATTGGTAAACATGTAAAGAATGACCAGCCACTCCTGAACACTGGGTACTGGCTCCATCTTCACCAACACTACATAAGTAAATAGTATGAGAAAAAGCAGGTATGCCACCTGCGAATAAAGGTCAAAGGCATCATTAAAGAGGACATTATTATAATGTAGGACATTATTACTCACATAACTCAGGTATATAATAATAAAAAGAACTCATCGTTCAAAAATCTGACTCCTTATTTCAGCCAATGTATCACAGCACAATTTTGAGCAAAAGCAATAGACTATATAGAGTGTCAAATAAACAGTTGGTTTGATGAAATACAAAATGTGTAGGTGCAAGAAAACTCTGGCGCACATTATAGAAATAGATGTCATCCTATGGTTATCTTTTGAACAGTGTCAAATGCTGCTTTCCTGTAAAAAAATGTGTAACGGGGACTTTGCTAGAGTATAGCACCCATGCCCTCAGTCTTCTGAGTGGCCCCGGTCTCCTGTGCAGTAGCTGTTCTGTTAGGTTGATTCCAGCACTGCGTGGAAACATCACTTCCACTGACCTCCTCTAGGGGCAACTAGGGGCACTGACAATCACAAACTCCCTTAAGATGCAGGAAATTATTAACAACATTAATCAATGCTGAACTTTGGTTGTGGGATTCATTTTGTTATCTTGTTTAACTATACTCATACTTGCAGTAGTAGCTGTATTTTCATTCACAATTTGTTATTATGTTAGGTTGATCATTTATTAAGTTAGATAACCTGACATTGTTGTCCATTGATCCAATCCATTAATTAACTATAAGATTACACATATATCTGCACAAAACGCTTGTGAATCAAAATGTACACTTCTGGGGAAAGTACTGTTAGGAAATTGTTAATAAATGTATTACATTTTATTTGCCCCTGTTTTCTTTCTTCCCTCAGCTATCATTATCCTCTTGATTTTTATTTTATCCATTCCATCAAATTTAATACAACACTGCAATTATTTTTAACATTATTTTTTACATTATTTTTACATGTTTAAAATTGTATAGCGACATTGTCAGAACAATATAATATAGTATTGAATTATGGGTATGCATTAATATCAACCGTGAAGTATAACCAAATAATAGATCTTTGTTTTATTGTTTATTGTTCAATATTCCAAAAAAGTGGAAGAATAAATAAAATGAGTGTAGATAATCATACAATAACTTGTGATTGTGTAGAAAAACCGGCTAGGGTTTTATCCGAAAGGTTTATTTAATATACACTGTAATACAGAAAAAATCAGAGGAAAAATCATGGACACACGGTTTATTGAAGATTTATTTGTTTATTTATATTTAAGCAATTTTATTAGTTGATTTACATTGTTGATTTTTGTTTTGTTTTGTTTATTCACATATCACTTCAGCAATTTTTATTTCACATTATAAGATGTTCACTTAGAGATATTCATATATATTTTTATACCACTTATTTAATAAGTCATTGTTGGATTCTCACTTCACTCCAGGAGACCCATAGCGCTCACTATTCTAAAACCAATAAATAAAACTTAACTCAACACTAAACAGCTAAGGGTTTTAATGTGATGTGTACAATATTGCAGTATTTACAGTATTTACAATTAAACTATCCTTGCTCTTCTTTTACATGAGTCTTTGATTTTTTTTGGCTTATGAATGCATGTGAGGTGTTATAATGTTTGTATGGAAGGCAATAAATAGGCATAAAAAGAGGCAAGCTCCCTTATGATTCTCAAGTGTTTGTGGTGTCAACCCAGTCTGGCCAGATTTTCCAAATTTGTTGCTGTGGCTGCGGTTTTCAGATTAGAGATCAACCACTTATGAGTAGGTATAATAATACAAATGTATATTAGGTAATGCTGAACCATACTGTGTGGTTGGTAACTGCAGTGTAGTTAAGGAGAATCCGGGTGGTCTAGTGCCCCAGAGAAACAAGGAAAGTGTTGCATCAATCTCCCCAAACTTGGCCTTAGGTATAAATTCTAGGGAATGCAATAAAATTGATACAAATATAGAGAAAAAAAAACATTTTAAATATCTATCACATTTAATAGTATTTTCCTCCAAACAGTTATTTGATCTTTATATTTATACTATAAGTAGATTTAGGTTGTTAGTAACAGTTTGATATCGGCAGCTGGATACTAACTCCAAAATATCAAAACATATTGGCCAGCTAAAAGTGTGACCAAGACCCTGTTCCTTACTAGTGTCCATAGGAAAAAATAGTGGAATTGCTCCAATTTACTGTCAATCCCAAATACACTACAATTTTTTTATTGAATCTAAGACTGTAACTAATTAGTTTTTAGCATTGGTAAAGTACATAAAAATGTAATCCACATAAACGGATACCCTTTCTCCCAATGTACCAATGGTAAGTACTTGAATATATGGGGTCGCCCTAAGCAATTCGGCTCAATAGCCAGGGTGGGCAGAACGAGAGACAAATGGCACCCCTGTCTTGTGCTCCTCTGTATAGAAAGGGATCAATAATTAAATTGTTAACCTGTTGGTGTATTGTATAGAATTTTAATCTGACTTATAAACATGGAGCCCAAACCAAATTTACCTAGTGTCTGAGTCATATATTAACAGATTTAAACGATTTACAGTATGTGTGTCTAGTACAATAAGGGCTCTTGGCCTGGGGGTAATTTAAGCAATAAAGATTGGTGAAAAATCTCAGCATGCTAATATTCATTGCACAATCAGGTATGAAAATGTTTTTTTCCAAATTAGTGAGGATATGGATTACAGAATGTAATATGAGGCCCAATATTTTAATCAGGATTTTCACATCAGCATAGATGCAATGGAATTGGTCAATAAGATCCCCAAAGCAGAGGGTCTTTCTTTAGCTTGGGTATCTAAAAAATTAGGTCCTCTTGCCAAGATAGTAAAAGAATGCCATTTTCATGAACACAAAGGGGGTGATTTACTAACCTAAACACACGCACGCACTTGGTGCGTGTGATTTTTACACAGCAAAACGTATTTATCAACCAAAAAGTCTCTAAAAGCATATTTCCACTAATGCCATATATGGAAAAATCATGCACATGATGCATATATAATGCTGCTTCACAGTTTAGACAAAAATGGTTAGCTCATGCATTTACATTCCTGCATTCATCAACGCAAGCAACACAACATAGAGCTAATTTACACAACATGACCTTGCAAATTCATGCTTGGCTTTGCACAACACACCTGCTGGGTGTGTACACACTACAAAGGTGTTTAGATTCCACCCATAGATCATGCTGAGAGGGAACACACTACAGAGGTGTATACATGTTCGTGGTGTGTTTATAAGGTTAGTAAATCAACCCCAAAGAGTCAGAAAGCAGGGAATAAGTTTATTGTTGTATATCAGATAACTCTCCGTAGGATAGCCATCCAAGCCTGGAGTCTTGCGTTTAAAGAGAAAGAAAATAGCCAGTTCCTCTGAAGTAAAGGAGGAGTCCAGAAATTTTCTCTGAGTGCATTCAGTTAGTGGTAGATTTCAGAGGGGGCATCCTCAGTGTATGGGTATTCCACCTCAGTGCTAATTTCAAGCTTCATGGTCTTCATCTTGCAAGCTTTTGTACTATGTTTACAGCAAATATAAAATACCCCCTTTAATGCTTCCCACTTAATCTCCTCAGATGTGCGCTCAGCATACAGTCAGTGAGCCACAGGGACCCCATTCACCAAGCTCTCAAACCTTTTGTTTGTGTGACATTTAATATAAGTTCTAGAAAAGAGTGGTCCAAGCTAGCCTGGAGTAGATAATACATTTGAGCAACCTGGGGAAGAATTTCGGCACTGGAGAACATCATATCTAACCAAGAAAGAGTGTGGTGGGTTCCAAGTGGCATGAATACTCTATTTTGCGGATGTTTCCACTGCCAGAGGTCCCAAAATCCGAACACCAATTGTTCAGGGCAGATGGGTATATACAGGTGCTAGCCATTCTATTATTTGAGGTCTAGAACCGCAAAAAAAAAAAAAAAATCTTGTCAACATGTGACCTCTAGCTATCTTCAGAGCTTTAACCATAGAGTTTTTCAATATAGTGATATCGAATAGTGGAGGAATATAGACATTACATGTAGCACAGAATTTGTTAAGATATTAGAGTGTCAAAATAACATAATATTCAGAGATTTGGAAATCAGAAGGTGCCCCCCCTCGTGAATATACAAAATAGGTCTCATGAAATGCGTAGGAAACTAAAGGCCTTTTTAGAGTCAACATTTTTGCTCCCTATAAATAGGTCTCTGAGGTAGCATGATGTGAGGTTTGTGCTTTTTTAGGGAGCCGAATACCGGGAAACACTTTACCTTTGAATTTAATATTAGGTGTACCCATTATAGCAGGTACTAATTGGCAAGTGATATCTAAACAGCATATAAGAGAATGTTAAATAATTGAGTGTCCAGCATAGAAGAATTATACAAAAGAGCATAGGCAGGCCTTATGCTCAGCCAGCTTCATTGCACTCCAGCATAGAACCATAATTATAAAATTACATCAGAACAATAACAAAAACAGGCAGAAAACAACAACAACAACCTTACTCCTTCCACTCCAGGCCCGCAGTACCAACATGCTGTGAGCTTTAAACCCTGAACTTGTGGTGAAGTGGGGTACATGTATCCTGAGCTTAAAATAAAGTTTGAGTTCATGACGTGATCCATGCATGCAGGGGCGTAACTAGAAATCACAGGGCCTCATAGCAAAATTTTGTATGGGGCCCTGTGATTTCTAGTTACACCCCTTGAAGAGCCCACATAGCTCACCTGAGGATGACCCTGCAGGTGGGCTGGTCACACTCCTTACCTGTCCGCCTCTTCTTCCTCCGTCTTCCCTCCTCCGTCACCGGCCCCGCCTCCTTCTCTGATGCTGACCCCCCTGGGCCCCGCCTCCTCCTCCCCACCACGCCCAGCCTTCTCCACCGCCGCTGCTGAATCTCATTGACTCAGTAGTGGCAATGGAGAAGAACGCAGCGCTGCACAGATCACGGTGATCTGAACAGCGGTGCGTTCGAACCCATAGCGACCCAGGCGGCCTGCACGGCATCAGGGGGGTGTCCTGGCCGGGCCCCATAGCGGCCGCCTGGGTCGCTATGGCTATTGTTACGCCACTGCTTGCATGGTAGATAATCCATGGTATATATAATAAAGGCAGCGATGGAAAAGAGAATAATAATGGAAAGAGGGGGCAGTAGGGTATCCCTTCCCCCAATCCCAATTTACAGGGAGAGCAACAAGTTCCTAATAACCTATTGGCTGACAACTACACTTTAGACCACTACACTTTAGAACAGCAATCTCCAGTGACACCAGAGGACAAAGCAACCACACACATCTGAGAGGCATGGCAACAGAACCACTGCAGGGTAGTCAATAGGTGTTCGTTCCTAATGCAGGGTCTTCAGAAGCCATGCATGTGTACTAATAAATCATTCCACAGGAATACTCCCTCTAGCAGGAATTGGGCAGCCACACCAAGAAGTTCCACAAGGATCCTAGCAAGGGGAGCACTAATAACACGTGACATAAAAAGTTGCAACAGACACCATTTTACTTTCCATGGTCTTTGCTTTCAGAAAATAAATAATTTAGTTTTGTTTTGTTTGAGGGGGGTTGACTTTAATCCATTTTTAGGCCTAAAATGTGCAATTTAACATGTGTGCAAAAAATGCAAATGGCTCTGGCAGCGAAAGTGTTAAAAAATAACTACTTAACTAACTAATGATTGCCACAATTTACCTGTATCTACTGTGTATATTTTATAAATTAAACAAAACCATTAACTAAATATTTATTTTATTTTTAAGGACACGTAAACTTACAGTGTGGAACCAAAACTTGACAATAGGTGCCCGGTAGAACTCACAGACTTTCCTGGTTACCGGAAGGTTTCCTTGAGCTCTCAAACTTTTGTCATCATCACTTGGATCCTTTGCTCCTTTTTCTGTATCAGAATTTTGCTGATAAAATAAACAGTAGATATCACAAAAAAACCATTGGTAATTTTATTATATCTAACTATCTTACCTATGAGGAAAAATTATAGGTTTTTCCCAAAAAATTACTATATGCACTTTTTCAATTTGGTCAATTTTTTTCTAGCCAATACAACTCAAAGTTAAACATGCACCACAATGAAGACCGCCAAATAATTTAGATTGCTATCATGTCAGATAATAATCAGGTTTTAGTTTTTTTGTGTTTTTTTTTTTTTTTTATAGTGAAGACACCTGGTAGAATATAATTTTGGAGCAGCTGTGTCACAGAACCATGTAATAGGCATTATTTTTAGTGAAAGGGCATTGTTCTACTTTTTTAATGAAGATAGTAGCAAAGCACTACAGTCCGCAACCCATGCATGCTCAAAGAATTCTGTATACTGCATATTACTGAACAGCTGTAGAAATGACATGTATGTATGTGCTTGTATAAAATACAGCCATAACCCCTTCATGATAAAGAATGAAACTCACCACCACCTGTTCCAGCCTCGTATTTTGAGTGGGAGCATCTACATAGAACCTGGCAAACTGGTGGAAATCTTGGGATTGAGGCACATGAGACATTTCTGCTTTGCTTTTAAATTCCAACATCAAGATGAATGGTGGCAAAAAAATGCCTAAAATGACCTTTAAAGGGATTTTAATACAGGGTCAGACTAAATAACTAAAAGAAATACAAAAAGAATATTTAAGGATTAAGGATTAACGATTAAATATACAGTAATGTCACCTTGAGCCAAGAATTCTTCCTCATTTTTAGGCAGCCCATCCACATGTCTGTTAGCAGCATCTGTGTACAGGTGTGAGACACAAAGGCCCTCAGAGCAGATGACACAGCCAGTTTCAGGCAAGTTGAGTTGCTCCAGTTTTTAAGCTCATATGTCAGAAGTTTCATGGCCATTTGCTCATTCAGTTTGAAAGCTTTTTCAAGAAGGTCCAAAGCCAGCTGGCCAAACTCTCTAAGGAAAATAAAAAAAAAACTTAAATGATTGTACCTTTCATTAATAATGAGCATGCACATGATATAATGGCATGCCAATATATATGAATCACAAACATTTCATAAAAAAAGTATTATATAAGAAAGTTTGTAAACTCTTATGAACCTTCTGTATTTCTGAATGAATGTTCTCTAAAATATCTTCATCTAAAGGTGCCCATACACCTTACGATTATCGTACAAAACTTTTCGTCCGATGATTGAACCGTCGTACGATTGTACCTGGACAAATTGCGGTAATCAACCACACGTATTTTTATTTGCGCATGAGCAGTGTTAATCGTACGACTTTTGACGTACGGAGACGCCACCGTACGTCAATTCTACTCTACTTGGTTAATGAACCCCCATCATATGTTTTTAATTTCCTAAACAAGAGGTTTACGGAATCCAGGTCATTAATGGGAAAAAATGGTCTTCTAGAATAGTAACACATTGAACAGAAGGAATTCAAAACAGAAGTAACTAATATAGTCAAAAGAGACCTTACATGGAAGAAAACATGCACAAAAAAAGGATGTCCCAAACCTCAGGTTATACTGCCACCTACAAGAGAATTGGACACTGCCAAACAAAAAATTGTAGGCCAGCTTAGGGTAACCCTTTCCAATACCAGCATGCCTCAGTTTTGTAGGAAAGCAGTACAGAGAGCATGATCAAAACAACAGGATGTCCTTCAGGATGTCCAAAAGCAGTTCAAGTTTGAGGTGGACAACAAAGCAAACAAAGGCTAACAGCACCAAGAAAACAACAGAGAGCTGGAGACTGCCTGCAGCTCAAAGAGCATTGAAAATCCAGAAAAAAACAATTGCTTAAGATGGTAGAACAAACAGCTGGTGCCTCCTTATGGGACCCTGTGTGTCCTTGTGGGTGACAGCAAAGAGAGGGATGTTTCTAATGAATTAATTGGCAAGTTCAGAATGGAGAGTACTAGATTCAGATCCTATGGAGTCACAGGGGAACAGATGTTTCAGAGAGTGTGAGGACAACTGTTTCTAAAACAGGAAAGAAAGAGCAGAAACCTGACCCTTGAAATTGATGAGATTCAAAAGCTGACCAGACCCAGCTGCAGGAAGGAGAGAATTCATCCCATTAAGAAAATCCTGGTGTGGAAGCCCCAAAGCTCACACCAAGTGAAGTATGCCTTCCATATTTGATGATAGACCTTGGAAGAAGTAAAATTTGTAGGTTTTAGCATTGTTTTCCTCAGAACCTTGGCTTCAACAGCCATGCTGATAAAGTCAGCAATCGGGAAGCAGGATAGTAAATTGGTCCTCAGGACAGAAGGGCCTGATGATCTGGTAAAGCCCACCAACTATTTGCTAGCACTTTTTCGAAAGTTGAGGTACTACATCCACCTGGGCCAATTCGGCACAATGAGGATCGCTTGAATGCCCTCCAGTTTGATTCTGCAAAGCAAACAAGTTTAAGGGTGTACTGATCCTACAGAGCCACCATAGCCTCCACTAAATCCACTAGAGAATTCCTGTACTTGGAGACAAATCTTTCCACTTTGTTTTTGAACCTGGAGGTGAGGAGGTCCATGTTCAGCTGCAACACAGGTCTTGGACCACTCCCCCACATCCAGAATCTCCCACCTGCAAAACGGGTCCTGCAACACTTCCAGGTGTTGTGAACACTGCCCCAGGTTCAGAAGTTGCCGGTTAGGAAAGTCTACCTGCCAGCTGTCTATGCCAGGAATTTACACAACTGACAAAATAGACTTCTGATGACTGATGCACACCACCAATGTGGCACTGTCTGACTGAATCCAGAATGGATGACCATCAAGTAGGATAGTCCAACACTGTTGTTTGGCAGACCAGACTCCCCTGACAACCAAGTCTCCTGCACTGACAGGGTGACCAGGACTCTACCCCAGTGTGACAGGGTGGTATCTCTCATGAGGATCCTCCAAAAGATATAAAGGAAGGTCTACCCCTCCTCCAGAGCTGGATTCCTGAGCCACTAGGCGAGGGACAACCTGGTCTTTGATAATAGGTGAATTGGTCTGTCCAGAGACAGGATAGACTTGTTCCACGATGACAGAATGTTGCATTGTGGAGTAAAACTGGGCAAGTGGAACTGTCTCAAATGAGGCTTTAATCAGACCTAGGACACTTATGCAAAAGTGGAGAGTAGGACAGATCCTGGACTGGAGTGTTCCAATCTGAGACTGCAGTGTCTGATTTTCCTCCTGTGGAAGGAACAATCTGGCCTGAACTGTGTCCAGGATTAGACCCAACTACTCCAAATAATGAGTCGGTTCCAATGATCCAGAACCATTTCTGTAGGTACAGAATCCATCAGAATAAGTACAGTCAACTCCATGTTGTCAGAAAGTCAACACTGACTTTTCCCTTAACAGAAGGTCTTCTAATTATCCCACCATCATGATGCCACAGGAATGCAGCAGAGCCAGTGCAGGAGGCAACATCTTGGTGGCACCCAAGGTGCAGCTGAGAGGCCAAAGAGCAGGCCCCAAAAATTGGTAGTATTTTTTACAGATAAGGAGGGAATAGTCTTTGCAGTCTTTACCATAGGCTTTAGGCTTCTTCTGCTAAGGAAGATGGATGTTCTTGACACAAGTAGCATTCTTGAGGATGTTGTCAGGAGCTGTTCCAAAGAGCCGGAGATCAAAAATGTTTTACACAAAGATTCCGCAGTCCAGCAGCTCAGCTAGTTTCCTATGCATATGAACTGATGTGAGCCACATTCAAGAAATGAGATGGGAGGCCCCTAGTAAACTATCACAGCTGAAATGGAAAGTTACAGCCATCTGCTCCATATGTCCTTAAAGAAAGGGATCAGCCGTGGCAGCAGTAAGACCGTTTTTAAGGGATGTTGACCATCCAGACATGGTTGGACAAAATAAGGTCATAATAGTCAGAATCAGATGAAGGGCCCGCCAGTGAGAACAGAGCTCTAAAAATGGCTTCCAACCATTTATCTTTTTGGTCTTTGAAGACATGGCCACGCCTGGCACAATGGTAAATGCCCTGTTAATAGGCTAATACGCCTTTTGGGGAAGAAAACAGCTTGTCATTATGTTTCCAGTCTCCAAAATGAAATAGTTGGAAAAGCAGACGCAAATATAGAAGTAGTTCCCAGTATTAAGCCGGACTGACCTACCCACTAAGTGAGTATTCAGAGACAGGGCAAGTGCTGAAGCAATGCCAATGGCTCTGGACCTGGAAAGCACTCTGCAGATAATTTGTATCAGAATAGAGTCTGTAAAGTGCCCTACATGGAACCCAGTGGCCAAAATTCACTTCTAGACTATCCCCGCAACATTCTGTCCGGTGGGGTCTGTAGGCAGTACTTCAAAAGCTAGGCTGAGGAAAGCCGAACCAGAGAGCAGTAATCAGAGAGACAAAGCTCCAGTGATGTAGAGAAGAGTCTTGATTGTAGAATCAAAATCAAAGAAAAAGGTTCTAGCAAAAAAAGCAGAACTGTAAAAAATACTTCCATTCTCCTAGGACACTGGCAAAAAACTGAGGCATGCCGGTAGTGTGAGGGGTTATTCAGAGCTGGCCTACAGTTTTTTGTATGCCAGTGTCCAATCCTCTAGTAGGCGGACTTCCTGTTTTTCTTTAATAAGACCTCATTGGCTAAGCTAGATGAAAATGAATTTGCAAAGTGAAAATTCATCACCTCATTCAGTTTAGTGAATGAGGTGATGTTGTGCTGACTTCCATCATATATAAGCAAAAATCCTTGCACAAGATTGGGTATTTTTTGCAATGTGAATTTTCACTTTGTTTCACCATATTCACTAAGATAAGTGAAAGTGTATTTTGAAAGTGAGTATGCTCTACTCATTTAGTATATCAGGGTTATTATGCCTATACATTTGTATGTCTGTAAAAAGCAAAGGGTCCTATAGTTTTTCTAATGGCTTAGCTGATTGTGTGGACTCATTACTGATATGATGCAGTGTACCCCTCTAAAGTAATACTAACAACCTGTGCTCATTCAGTGGTACTCAGTGTTATTTACAATTAATAAGAATAAAAATAATTTTCTAATATGAATGAAGTGTACATTATTGTGTTAGTTACACAAGTAATGGGTCACTGTAGACATTTAAACAGGTCAGGAGGCATCAACCCATACTTAGAGTATTTCTTTAATTCATCTGAAGTGTCATCCACCATATTGCTCTGCTTTGCTTCATGTGCCATGGCCCGGTATAGTTTACAGGCAATTACCGCCTTCACCATAGCCTCTTCCCCAAGTTGCCAGAAGAACATGGCAATTTTCTGTCTCTTCATCAAAACAGCCCAAACTAGCAGGTCATTGTAGGGATACACAAAGCCACCTAATTCATTTTCTTCAGTGGAGGTTAGCTCATCTTTCAGCTTCTTCTTTGATTTCTGGGTTCCAGTGGTCTTCTCCTTTTAGAAAAGCAGTTCAATTAGAAACTGTACAGTGTAAAGACACAACACAAGTGTATGAAAACTTAGAACAAAACAAATTAAATTAATGAACAAAAGAAAAAAAAATGATATGGTATAATTATGCAATTACACTATTTTTTTGCCAGAATGCACCATGTTTTGATTCATAGCACCAGCCTTAGGTATGACATACACATTTATATCTACTACTATTACAGATGTTTATCACCCACACAGTGATCAAAAGATGACAAAATGTACTCACAGTCAAAGGAATGACAAGACTGAATGTGGTGTCTTTAAAGTTCTAAGATGGTGGCAATTACGCATGAATGCGCGGTAGTGTTTGGCCTAGTGTTAAGGTATCCACTAAAACAGTGCACGTGCAGCTCCTCTAACACTGCACATTCATTCCCTGCTATAAGTCTTTAGAAATATGGCGACCAGATCCTGCATTGGAACAACCTTTTAGATTGATCACTCCTGCATATTCAGAGGATCTCGTCACCATATTGCTGAGAACATTGCACATGCACGGGAGTGAGTTCTGCATCATTCTGCTCAGACAAGACCGTGGCTTGTTTCTACTGTGCTGTTGGGGGTCTTGGTTCCAATACTGCACATACATAGAGGATATGGGCACATTCTGTTGGTTCATAACTGTGAAGGACAACCTCACTTAACAAGAGCAGAATGTAAGATCTGAATGCAGACACTCCATTCAGAGTACATGGCTGTGAAATGGAGCTTCTCCTCAGCCCCCAATCTCTTAAGGCAAACGGGCATACTGGCTGTAGAATGTCACAAGCGGACCCAAAGGGAAAAAGGGTAGATGTACTATACTGCGACGGAGGAAAACAGATATAAGGCACTCCAGTGGACTAGGACTGGTGGCAGACAGCAAACATAACTTGAGGACATAACAAAGGTCAGAGCTGGCAGTAGACAGTGAGCATATCTGTGAATGTAGCAAAGACCAAGGCAGGGGGCAGACAGTAGAGGTATCCGTAAACGTATCACTGGTCAGTGCAGGCAGCAGACAGTAGAGGTACTTTTGAATGTAGCAAGGGTCAGCAACAGAAACAAATAGACCAGATGCACTTGGTCAGCAGGAAACTCTACCACAAGCACAAGGATGCAAGCTGATAAACTTTTAAGGTGCATAATGTGAAAGGACCTCAACCCAGGGGTGGAGGGGGTGTGTGTTTGGTTGCCACGGAAGTTATAGCTCAGCAATATGGAAGCACTGGGAGGCCTCCTGTTGCCCAGCAACTGAGACACCAGCTGGAAAGAGAAGGAGTGGGGCTGCATCCTATTGCCTGGTAACCAGGACACAAGCAGGCTTGGGTAAGAGAGATAGCAGAAGGGGGGAGCCGCTAGTGGACAAGTGGGTATACCGGCTGCTGCCTATAACAGAAAACCTGACCTTGACATCAGGAGCTGCAGTTAAGATATACATAATAATACACCCATGGTCTCAAGGATCCCAAGACACAAGCAGTCTAATATTGTGTGCAAATACCTCCAGGTATCTGCGTTTCAGGTCAGCAGTCACAGTAAATTTGAACTTGACACAGGTTCACCTTGGCACGGTTTCTTTTAAAATTTCTTTTACAGCCTATTGGCTAATTTTGATTACTATCTCCAATTAAAGAGTATTTACTAGTTTATCTTGACCTGTATAAATATATTATAAATGGTAATAAAACCGAAACTGCTTCTTAGCAGTCTACTTGACCTGAATTTCTCACGAGTTCTGACTATCCTTAAATTTATGACTATTGCATAAAAGAAACTGACTTCACAGCACTTTCCTTCAAGAATTCACAATAAATCATAATTTATAAGTCATCTGGCAAGCTTTTCTAGTTAGGGTTAGCTAGCAGATTTTTTAAACAAGTAAATGTAAATATATAATTAATAACTGTATATTTTCACATTTAAAGTGGATTATTTATTTAGGTGTAGAATAATAGAAACAAAATGTAGGTAAATGGGGCTTTTAAGGCACCAGGTGACAGATCCAAGAGATTACAACATCCTTAATAACAAAAAAAATCTTTATTGCATACAAAAAGTTTCAAAGGTTTTTAACATGTTGTATGCAATAAAGATTTTTTGTTATTAAGGATGTTGTAATCTCTTGGATCTGTCACCTGGTGCCTTAAAAGCCCCATTTACCTACATTTTTTCTATTGACTTATCAGGGGTGTGGCACCAATTACTCAGGACTCGTTCACGACAATTTGTTTCAAGGTTAGAATAAACTGATATGATTCTACAGGCAATACTTTGAGCAAAAGTAGAAAAAATCACTCGTCATGTGACCCATGAATCCATTCAGGATAATGCATTAATAGAATCGATATGATCTGTCCGTGTTCATTTTGGGGATTTAAAGGATGGACCAAACTACTATATGTGTGTTTCCCATAATTGGATTATTTATTCATATAATGGTCCATTATACTTACCTTGGGATGAGGTGTCCTTGGATAACAGATGCACTTTATGTTATTTCACCCTATTGGACTTCTTTTTTTTCTTATTTTGATTTGTTTGCACTGGATTTGTAACCAGTATTCCAGCACATTATGCTCATTTGGTACCTAGGGAATTGTGCAAGCATTTTTTGTCCTTGTCTTTCATCATAGAAGTTGTAGATGAATTAATATGTCAGTATATTGCTACTGGTTATTGGTATATGGCTGACAGTACCATATTCCATCTTTTTCTGCATTATATACTAGGGAGCCTTTGGCTTAAAGATTAAAATAGGACTCTTTCAGTTAAGGATTATATTATTGTGATGCACAGGTATCATGGTGCAGGCCATTTTAAGCTGATGTTACACCTCTATATCAGCTTATGCGTATATGGTGTTTGTTTTGGTTTGGTTGACATTAATTATACTTTGTATTAGGGATGCACCAATACCGATACTGGAATCGGTGCCAATACCAAGTATTTGGGTGAGCACTCGTACTACCCAAAATGCTTCTGATACTTGTCCTGATGCCGGAACTTCCTTGTCACCAGGGAGAATGAAGCCGGCTTCCTGGCCAATCAGGAAGCTTGGGGGCGAGTCATTACCCACACCCCGGCTTCCTGACGAGGAAGTTCCCGGTATTGGGATAAGTATCGGGAGCATTTGGGCGATATTTATCCCGATGCCTGAACTTCCTCGTCACCAGGGAGCATGGAGCTGGCTTCCCAGCCAATCAGGAAGCCGGGGGCGGGTAATAGCTCGCCCCCCAGGTTCCTGATTGGCCGGGAAGACAGCTCCATGCTCCCTTGTCAGTTGGTGATGAGGGAGTATGGAGCCGGCTTCCCGGCCAATGAGGAAGCCCGGCGGCCAGTCATTACATACCGCCCGGCTTCCTGATTGTCCGGAAAGCTGGCCAATCACGAAGCCGGTCGGCGAGTCATTACCCGCGCACAGCTTCCTGATTGGCCAGAAAGACGGCTCCATTCATTTGAATTGTATGTAATCATCATTAGGGGATATCCCATTCCAATAATTTTTCAGGGGTACACATATTTTGTACTTATTAATAAAGTATTTTATTTATCTATACAAAAGGCTGATACAGACAGTGGTGCAGTTTGTTTATGTAAGGGAATGTTGGTGTGATTTTCTATTATGCTACTGTGTGAATATTGCGTCTCCAATAGCTGATCATAGGCATTTGATAACATATTGAAGGGAATATACTGTACTACCGAAAATGAAATTTTCAGTTTCACTGAAAGAAAAGGATTTACAATAACCACACATAATTGCAATATTCCCTTGCAGGTCTCTGCAATGCATGCAAAAACTCAACCCAAGTGTTAAAATAGAAGTAGAGTAGATCTGATTTTATGCTCACTTAACTAGTGTTACCGAACAAGTGATTTCTATCATTATAAGAGAAGATGGGTTTGGTGCACTGTTTCCATTAATTTACAATACATACAAGTACATGAAAGTAGTTATTTAGGGGAAATAAATTATTTATGAGAGCTATATTTAGGAATCATACTCCCTAGCTACCTAAACTTGATGTCTCTGTGCATTGCCCTACTTATCTGCTACTAGACTTACCCACAAGTTACCAGAGACGGCCTGGCAAGGAAAAAAGAATAAGGGGTCTATTCACTATGCTGCCGAAGGATCTAGCCGTAGCTTCAGCTGATCCTTCGGCTAGCTTCGGCCCCAGGACCCCTTCGGTTCTGTAGAACCGAAGGGCTGCTGTACGGGCTATTCACTATAGCCCGTACAGCTGCCGAAGTCGGCCGAGCGGCTCTGTCGAGTCGAAGGCATATGCTTCGGCTCGACTGAGCCGAGGTGAAAGCCGAAGCTGGCCGACAGCCTGCAGATGACGGCAAAAGAAACAAAAGAAAACGAACCATAGGAATGCATAGCTAGATTCATATTGGTTATTTCACTTTGCAATAGCCAATAGGAATCTAGCTATGCATTCCTATGGTGGTTTTTTTTTTTTTATCAGACTGACGGCGGCCGGTGGCCCTGATGTCAGGAAAAAATAAAAAATAAACCAGAGCAGAGAAAGGTTTACTCTGCTCGATCGAGCAGAGTAAAACTTTCCGGGAGAAAGTGTTTCTCTCCCGGGCGGCCGGGAGCCGCTAAGCGACCCCTGGAAAATCGTCGCGACCCACAGGTTAAGAACCGCTGGTCTATGCCAATGTACTAGTATTCATACATACACAATTACAAGTGCCTACAAAAGAAGCTATATCAGCTTTCTGTTTCAAACTCGTATTGCTGTACTGTTCCAACCCAGGGTCAGATTTGAACGAACACTTTCAGAAAAAAAGACTTCTTTGATTGTAAAGGCAATACAAGTCACGACATTTGTTCCTGTTATTTGAAATGTTTAGTAAGTTGCTAAGAGATTACACAAATGTATAAATAAATTCTAGCTTAGCTTCAATGTTTATGTTACAGTTCCTGCTCTAAATTCCTGCCCACATAAGTAATCTTGTATGTGCACTTGGCAGATTAGAAACCTAACTCTAGGAGAAGGCTTTCAATTAAACTGGATATAAAACTTGGAAGGATCACCTTGCGCTTAAAAGGTTGGGCTGTTCGGCAGAACTGGGAATGTAAGGTATTCTCAGGTGATGGAAGCTTGCTGTTCATCTGGCTGTTCTGGTTTATGGAAAGATGAGAGAGGCTCCGTACAAGACTCGTAGTAGAATTGTGGGTGGTTCTCTAAGACAAAAGGCAACAAAACAAATTAGAAACTTGGCTTTAATATATGCATTAACAAAGCATTTAAATGATATCATAATAAAAGGTAATTAGTGTATTAAAGTGTAGGTAAAGTAGACATTTTGTTTGAGATTTTAGATATAGCAGTTAAATGTTAAAACCCCAATCTGATTATTTTTTGTTGTCTTTATCCTGCAGGGGAAATTTTCCAGCACTTCCAGTCCTGGAGACACAACAGAGAATTAGATGTAATCTCTTTAACCACTTAATGACCAGGGTGTTAAAGCCCCTTCCTAGCCAAGCCATGTTTCAGTATTCAGTACTGTGGTATTTTGACTGTCATTTAATCAGTCATAAAACACTGTGTTGAAATTATTTTATACCATTTTTGGGGGACAGATAGAGCTTTGGTTTGGTGGTATTTAATCACCACTGGGGTTTTTATTTTTTTTCTAAAAATGTAAAAAAATAAAACCTGTTTTCCCCTCATTATGTTATAAAACATTTATTAGTACCCAATTTTCAGGGAAAATATAAAAGACGGGGTCATGTCAGGTAAATAGACACCAAACATGTCAAGCTTTAAAATTTTGTGCGCCCGCAAAATCGCCAAAAAATGCCATACCTAAAATTGGCCATAGGTGACGCTTTAAAAGCTTTTACAGCTCATCAGTTTAGTGTTATCAGTAATTGATGGCCCTAGAATTATTGTTCACACTCTGACATTCACGGCAAAATGTAACATGTGTGTCATAATAATTGTTTTCCGCACGTAGGCATACCCGATGCGTATTTACGTTTATATGTGCGTGCACGTAGGGGTGGGAGCCTTTTTGGGGCGTTTTTTTCTTTTTTTATATATGTGTCTTTCATTTTTTTTCTACACTTAACTTTATTGCTATCACATAGGGGTATAACAAGCCTCCTATGTGGTAACAAATATACAATGAAAGGTCCTCCTTATGGAGACATCAGGGGTCTCTATGACCCCTAATGTCACCTTGGAACCCCTATAGAAACTTATCAAGCAGAGATCAGCTTCACCAGCTTCTTCTCTGGCTATAGCAGCCAGAGAAATGACAGCTAAAAGCGGAAGTGATGTAACACTTATCGATTCAGCCTTTAGAGAGAGAGAGGAGGAGAGATCAGTAGTGGAGGAATGCTGATATCTCCTCTGTCATCACTGGAAACAGCCGATGTGCCGGTCCCGGGCCTGCAGGGGAGACAGCGGAGCCCGGGATAATCAGCAGCGGTGGTGGAGGGGAGGAGCGCGGCAGAGGAGGGGGGCGCACAATGTTTGTTGATATACAAGCAATCGGACAGCTGTAGAGCTGCCTGTACGCGTGTAACAGCCGGTACCGGCTGTTTACATGAACAGCAGGATTCTGCTCGCGCATGTGTGAGCAGAAAAAATTACGTACAGGCACGCCGGGAAGAAGTTGCCGCCTGCCCATTGTAAATACACAGTGGTTAAAGTGGATAGAATTCACATCTTAGACACCTGTCTCAGGGGAAAGTATCCCGGTTGAGAATTTTCCTTCTGGTGACAACTGTAAAGATTTGGGTTTACCATAACTTTCTGTCTCTGAGACAATGTTCACCAAGAAAAATACAGCGGAGAGACAAATAGCAATAAGACAAGAAGGCATTGTTTGCCTGATGAAGGGACCAAATGTGGCCCTGAAATGTTGTTTGCTTTATGATAGGGTGAACGTGTGTCAATAAAAAGACATATTTGAATCACAATTGGAGTGCTGGTGATTCATTTTTTTCATCAGTATTGCCTTATGTGACGCCAACCGCTTGTCACTGCAGCACCCACAATGGGTTACACTAAAATTCTACGGTCAGGAGTGTGATGGGATAAGTTCAATAAAATACAACAATGAAATGCTGAAAGGGGATCGGACCCACTCTATCCAAGACTAAAACAAATGTTGCTTTTACATGAACCTTTGGGCTGATTTATGAACGTTTCACCCAGCATATAGATGGGAGAATGTCGTTTGGGTGGCATTACTGCCACTAGTGGTAGCCAAGGAGCATAGCAAATACCTATCAACTGGGAAGACCATTCTTATCTTTAGTGAGAGCTAACAAGAGTAGTTGTCAAAAAAAAGAAAAAAAATATTTTAAGGTTAGCACACTCCTGAGCCAATAAAAGTATAACCATGCATTCTGAACTTCCAACAGTTGTATGACACTACCCTTGTGGACTCCATTAGTTCCAAAAGGCTATACTGATTACAGGAAATGCAGTTTTGAAGTGGTTGGAAGGTCATTTGGTTCCTACAGAAGCATATGCTTTTCCGTAGCTGCAGCTTCTGTTTATACACACTTGCATTCCACAAGCAAATCAATACAAAATGATGTATGATATTCATAAACTTTTGCCTCCCAACCCAAAAAAGAATTCAGTTGTCAACCTTGAAAAAAATCAGTGAGTAAATGTACCTTTTGCTTTCTGTAAAGGCCATTGTACAGCACTCGAAAACTCTTCCTTGTGTAACTACTCCGATAAGCTCCACCAATCAGGTATTCAATGACCAATCCCACATCAATTAGAGTGATTCTGTAGTCTAGGGCAAGATGACACTGTTGGAAAATAAAAATAATGTTTATTTCACACCTAAATATGAGCAAATCACATACAAGTATTTAATATGAGATCTCAAAAACACATTATAACCTACAGTAATTTTGGCATCATGGTATTGCAAGATTTTGAACGGTTGTCATTGGAAATTTAGCAATGATCATTTAGCAACATGTTTATTGGGACACTGTAGAACTGAATTAATACATCAAAATATGAATGAGCAACATGTTCCTTAGCATTTGTGTGTACTTTCTCTAGAAACTGTTTTCAGGTGTTCATATTATACTAAATTTAATCTCATAGAACACAGCGACAAAGTCCCTTTAACTGAACTTGGTTCAGCTGCCGTATGTTGAAGGATTCCACGGGAGATTAGGATGGCAACGTATTTCATCTCCAAATGGATTAACAAAGATTGACAGTAACAGTATTCATAGAAAAATAAATAAATAATTGAGTAATTACATCATTTAAGATCAAAAGCAGAGTCAGTGGCTAAAAGTCTAATATAAATAATGTGCCACATGGATAAGAGAATTATCTGACGCTGTGCAGAAATTCTGCAACTTCAGTATTATAATTGCTTGCAAACAATGGAAATATTAACAAAAGAGAAATTAGTCTTCCTTTGCTTGTAAATGGCAAAAAATAGATAAATATAGAGAAGTATCAATTTCTGTAGCAGTTAAAGAAACAATATGTAAGGCCCATATGTACTGATATCATACCTCTATCGTGGCATTGTGCTTGGAACTAGAATCAGAAACCAGTCCTGTTCCATGGTGGGATTTCCCTATTATTTATTTTTTCTCCAAGCAATTTGTTTCAACTATTTTTACTGGTTTAAAGTAAGTGACTCCACTTTTCTCCACTGTTCTAAGCAATGTGGTCTGCTCACTGACCAGCCCGGAAGAGCAGTGAAGAAGCATGACCAGAATGATGAGCAAATGACTCTCCTCCTGTCAACACACGCTCAGTGTCAAAATGACCGCACTGCACAATGTAGTAGAAACTGACAGCTACACACTGCTGACACTGCTTTCTGAGTTCAGCTGCGCAGTTGATTACAGGAGGTTACATTCAAGTTTTTTCACAAGTGGTGGTCAAAAATACAATAAATGTTATGCTGTGGCCAACACACTTTCATGTATCAGATCCTTTAGTAGGTTAAGGTCTTTGCATTAAAACAAAGCAAGATTAGAGTTGGATACACAAATAAATAATAACATCTGCATAGAATTTCTGCAATCACCTGTTTTGCATCTCCAACAAGATGGTGCAAGAGCAGATTTGTTGGTCCTTGTTTCTTTAATGGAAAAAAGAAAAAGAAAAACACTCAATTAGGAGCTTTAATATACAGTTAAGGGATAATTATGGTGTGAGTGAATTCCACTTATCTCCATAGTTAGAGCTGAAGTGTGACAATGAAACTGTCACACATCGGCTCTATTGATCTGGAAGTGAGCGAAAACACCGCCGTTCGCTCACTTCCCGATCATCTCCCTGCAGTAAGCAGTGACTGACCCCCCGCAGGGATTCCCCCCTCCCCTCTCCGATCCTCCAGCACTTACTGGAGGTAGCGGACATAGCTGGCTCTGCCCCTATATAGGCAGAGCCCACTGTCAATCAGCCAGCTTGGTGGATCTTGACACTATTGTCAGGATCCGTCCCAGCTGTGGCGGTCTCAGTATATAGCGAGCAATAGCCCGCTATATGCTGAGTTTTGGGTCATGCGAGGATGTTAGCATATGTCCTCCTGTGGCCCTAAAGAGAACTATAGAATAAAAAGGTTACCCAATCGTTCTCTTTTAAGTCCTCTGCTTGAAGATACAGTACCTTGCAAAGCAGACACATTTTGAAGTTTAGAAGCTGATCAAACATAGCACATGGTCTCTTGATGAATGAAACATGCATTGTAAGTACAGAAAAATGTCTGGAAAAATGATCTGATGTTTAGAAGAGTGCACTAGCAGTATGCCTATATAAGATGTCCATATACAGTATAGCATAAAAATGAGCAAAAAAGGTTAACATATTTTTCTCCTGTCATATGAATATGCATTATCCCAATGGAGTCCATTACCTATTCAAGGGAGATAATGGCAGGATGAACTCATTTAAACACTTAAAAATTGTATCACTTGTAGATAATTAAGACAGTTGTTATCTTGAAAACATGAAATAATGGCAGGACAAAGGTTCAGGTGAGCAAAGTACAGATATCTAGATTGTCTTATAGTCATTTATTTAGACACTTACAGTATTATAAAGCTCTTCCAATCTGCTTATTGTCAGAAAACGATGCATATTCACTCCATATTCAATTAGTAATTTCACAAAGTCCACACGATCCATTACCAGAGCATCCTGCATTGCTTGTTCTAAAGAGCCCACCTTTCAAGAGACAGAAGTGTCAAAAATGTGAAATAATTTTTCTTACAATAAACATGCACGATGTACTGTATATATATATATATATATTAACAAAGCAAATGTATATTTCTGATCAATAACTTTTGTAAGTCAAGCAAGACTGTTGTTATCCTTTTTTCGCATACAGTCTTGCTTGACTTACAAAAGTTATTGATCAGAAATATACATTTGCTTTGTATATTGCTATTGCACAACAATATTTGCACAACATGCTATTGTGGCTGGAATCAATCATTGAAGCTGCACCACATGTATAAGAAATAAACCTATGTACTAAAAATTACAAAAAGGAACAGATTTTTTTTAAAGCACCAGGTATTTGTGTCTCATAAATGTAAAACCAACAAGCAGAGTTAATCACTACATCGACAGAGGTTATAAGAAGATATTTCTGTCAGTTAGTTGAACAGTTAAAAGAACTTGCTTGAAGACTGCTGAAATATCAGTTTTGGGTGAAAAGATCCTTTAAAGCAGGATTCCGTGCACAAATTTTATTAACCCTTACAACGGGGCTCTTCCCCAACTGCAAAGGTTAACTGCTCATTTTTGTCTAGGTTTAAAAAAAAATGTTATACAACCCGATCCTCAGAGCCGGCATGCTCTTAAGCTCGCTCCCACTCCGCTGCATTAGTCTAAGGATCCTTGAGTCATCACATTCTATACACAGCGTATACCATAGGATGTGAGAAAGCCGAGGGAGATACCATCGCTGCAGTGTAGAAGGAGAGAGGCTGGAAGGAGAACGGTGACAGCCGGCCCGGCTTTGAGGATTGGGTGAGTATAACTTTTTTATTTTCCTCCCTAGACAAAAATGAGCAGTTAACCTTTGCAGTGTGGGGGTAGCCCCATTGTAATAAAATTGGTACCTGGATTTCAGCTTTAAAGGAGAACTATGGGGTTAGGGCTTTTCCCCATAGTTCTCCTTAGGGTAACGGGAGGACACAAACTAGCGTCCTCCAGTCACACTAAGCTCAGTATACCACGAGCTGCAGCTCGCGGTATACTGAGACGCCGCAGCTGAAGCGGATCCCGACAATTATCTCTGGATCCGCCCAGCTGCGTGAGTGACAGCTGGCTCTGCCTATCTAGAGGCAGAGCCAGCTGTACCCGCCCCCTCCCCCGTCCGTTCCGTCAGTCAGCGCTGGCGGATCGGAGCGGGGAATCCAGTCCCACCCCTGTCCCAGCAGAGAGCCGTGACAGGATCGAGAGGTGAGCGAACGCCGGTATGTGTTCGCTCACTTCCCGATCTACTGAGCCAACCTGTGACAGTTTCATTGTCACAGGTCGACTAGAACTATGAGGATGAGTGAAAAGCACTCACTTCATAGTTCTCCTTTAAGCTTAACACTAAAAAGATCCTTTAAAAGAGAACTATGGGGTTAGTGTTTTTCCCCATAGTTCCCTTAAGGGTCACGGGAGGACATATACTAACCTCCTCCCGTGACCCAAAGCTCAGTATATCGTAAGCTACAGCTTGCGGTACACTGAGACCACCGCTGCCGGGACGGATCCCGAAAGTAGTGTCGAGATCCACACCGCTGAATGAGTGACAGCTGGCTCTGCCTATCTAGAGGCAAAGCCAGCTGTACCCGCCCCCTTCCCCGTCCGTTCCTCCAGTCAGCGCTGAAGGATCGGAGCGGGGAGTGGGGGAATCCCTGCAGGGAGCCATGACTGACAGTCACAGCTCTCTGCAGGGAGATGATCAAGAAGTGAGCGAGCGACAGTATGTGTTCGTTCACTTCCCGATCTATTGAGACGACGTGTGACAGTTTCATTGTCACACGTCAGCTCGAACTATGAGGATAGTTCTCCTTTAAGCATAACACTAGAGAGACGTGAACACTTTGGGCCTAAACAAAAGAAGTAGTATTTCATGAGTATGGGTTGAATTCCTAAAGAGATACAGTATAACAGCCAGTGGGTAATTAAAAACTACAAGCACTTATCTATTATTAAAATATCAGAATTGGATAGAGCATTTTAATTTTTATATTTTGCAACAAAGGTACAAAGCAACAGTCACCTTTATGAATATACACACACTTCTAAAGTAAGTTACAGCAGAAAGGAAACAGTAGAACTTTACTCATAGAAGACCATAGCTAGAGTAACTGCTAAGTGGACAAGCATCAGTGAAAAACGTAATTAGCTCAGGTACCAGGGGGTATGATCCTGACACTGATTAGAAAGCGCTGTTCCCACAAATAATGTGTTTCTAAAGGGAAACTATAAAGTTATCTATTCCTCCAGGCATCTGGAATCAGTAATTCAGGAGCTGTTCATCCAAGTGGAAAATAGGAGTTGACACGGTTCTGGTCAGGTGTACAGCACAACAAGTTGGAACCAGATTAAGAAAGGCAAAAAGAAATGATCTTAATGAAGGAAGGACAATCAGCATTTAGCATCTTATGCACAAAGGTGTAGGAGGAAAGAACAGCAGCCCGATTATCCCATTCATGTTTCCATGGGAAAATAGAAGGAAAAATGGTGTTATTGGCAACAACAGTTATTTTCCTTCATATATAAGGCCTAAGGCCCCTAAGGTTCTGTATTGCACAACAAGTAAGAAGTCTATGGGGATGCTTTCAGATTTAGCTGTATTGTATAACTACAGAATACTAGTAACAATATTAAGAACAATAATACAAACTTTCCAGTGCTGCCCATACACTAGAATGTGTTTCTTAGCAATGTCCACCCTGTTCCAAGTCAGTGCCAAGCTCAGCTGATCTGGGGCTGACATGTTGGTCCCTATAAAACAAAATGTTTAAAAAACATCAATTTTGCACAATAAACTGAACCTGTTAAACAGATAAAATGGCATTTGTATCACAGAAACATAATATATAGAAGTGCTGTAAATGTATTCATAAAGTTATAAGCCAACATAACAATCAAAGTCTTTATGAAGAGAGGGAAACATTAAAACCCAAATGGACCTTTAGTGTGAATCAACTAACTACACTCCAGGTTTTTTTTAAGAGCAGACATTAATGCTGTCAGTAAAATACTCACTGCTCACTGGAGAGCTCTGGTTCTAACTCAGTAGGGGCTGTGTCAGGCCTCTGCAGAGAGACCACTGCTTCCTGCAAAGAACAAGAGTCCTTCTCTGCAGCATGGTGGATTTTCTACTCAGGCTGTGGCTGCTTGCTACAGAAAACCAATTGGAAGACTTAGGGGGTTATTCACTATGGAGCCGAAGGATCCAGCCGTAGCTTTGGCTGATACTTCGGCTCTCTTCGGCCGCCTCTGCCCTTCAGCAGCCGAAGGCAGCCGAGCCGTAGACATATGCTTCGGCTCGACTGAGCCAAAGTGACAGCCGAAGTGTGGAGAAAGGTCGGCCGAAGCCGACCGATCTCCAAGCAAATGACAGCTGGGCGGAGTCAGCTGTGATCTCACGGCTGGCTCCACCCAGTTGTAATGACAGATCAGTGTCCCAAATGACCTGGGGACGCTGATCCGTCATTAAACAATACCAACTGGGCGGAGTCGGACAGTTTTTATTCATTGGCCGGGACCTGCAAGAAGACTCTGGCAGGTGCCAGCCAATAGGAGACAGTTGGGCGGAGCTAGCCGTCACTGCTAGCTCAGCCCAATTGTTTTTTTTTCTTTTCTTTAAAATATTTTTTTTTATATTTTCCTATTTGTTTACATTTTTAAAATCATTTTGCAACTTTTTTTTATTTCACATTTGTTTCACCGAGCAGAATAGCCGAGCTGAATGCCACATGGCGGCATTTGGCTGTTCACTCACTGCCGTTTGGCCCCCATGAGAATAGGGGTGAGCAGCCGTGAGTGAGCTGCCAGAGCTTCGGCTCAGCCGATCCAGATGTTGGATCGGCTGAGTCAAAGTCCTTCTGCACTTCAGCTGACCTAAGGCAACTGATGCACGGCTGATTTTAGCCCATGTACAGCTGAAATCAGCAGTACAAGCCAGAAGTGAATAGCCGAACAGCGTTCGGCTCACTTCACTTCGGCTGGGTTATTCACTCGGCTGCTTTGTAAATAACCCTGTTAGAATGTATTTAAATGGAAAATACAACTACTATGTATGCAGACTACAGAACTGGGTTTTAATTAAAGCTAAACTACAGGCAGATTTAAAAATCACAATTTTTTAGAGTTATCTATTCATTTTTTTAAAAATGGAAATGTGTGGTTGACATAGAAGAAGCCCTAATATTAGCCTTTTGTAATCTTCTGCGCTGCAGCACACTGGGAGAGGGAGCGCAACACTCGAACAAATCAAAGGTCTATATCTCTAAACAGTGCTGTCAATAAATATCTGAACATGCTTACTGGAAGAGAGAGCAGAGTGATTACTTCATCACTGTTTTAATTCTCCTTCACTCTCCAGTCACAAGCTGGCAGAAGGATGGTGACTCACCTGTAATTCCCAGTTACAGCAGAGGAAACTGTGGTCACTGACATATGGCTGTGCTGAGGGTACTTGAAGCACAAGAGTGGTTGAGTACTACCACAACTGTGCTGGAAGGTAAAGTATGTGTAAACTGTAAGAATGCACTTATCTTATTTGCTCCGTTTTGTTCTGTTAACTATACCATTGCAAGTGTTTTGTAATACAGTATGTGCTTGTACCTGTTGATCATGCCAGAAATCTTGTGAACTCGTAACTTCCTGTTCACTCTGCTTATGGTGCATTCTTTTTGGCTACATTGTTTGCAGTTCTTTTTTTGTAGGCCACAGAACAACTTTCCACTATGTTATGTAGAAGCTAACTGGCGGAGGTTTCTGTAGATCTGTCCTGGGTTGACAATGCTGCTCCTCCATAGATACAGTACAGTGAGTGAGCTTTGTCACCCTAGGACAGGCAGTGTGTTACTAGCAGGATTGACAGGTGAAAATAAAAGCTAAAATCATGAAAAATAGAAAACTAATGTAGCCACCTACATTAAATAAAGTATTTGGTCTCTTTCAAACAGTTCATACTGTATGTATGTATTCTACTGTATATTTAGCTATTAGTGTGGAGTTCAGCTTTAATGTTCGTTTAGGATGATTTCTCAGTTCTCAAGACATTTATATAACATAATTCGGTTTACAGTACAAATAACTGAGATAATACTTTTTTTATGTTTTACAGCAGCATGGTCACTTAGGATTGAAATGTACACTGCCTGGCCAAAAAAAATTCACTACCTGGATTTTGGCCAGTGTTATGATCTGGGGTTGCTTTATTTAGTCAGGTCTAGGTTCAGCAGCGTTATGTCCCCAAAAATGAGGTCAGCTGCCTTCCTGAATATACTGAATGACCAGGATTTTCCTTCAATAGGTTTTTTTCTTCCCTGATGGCATGGGCATATTCCAAGATGACAATGCCAGGATTCATAAGGCTCAAATTGTGAAAGAGTGGTTCAGGGAGCATAAGACACCATTTTCACACATGGATTGGCCACCACAGAGTCCAGACCTAAACCCCATTGAGAATCATTGGGATGTGCTGGAGAAGACTTTACATAGTGGTCTGCCTCTCCCATCATCACTACAAGATCAAGATCTACAAGTGAAAAATTAATGCAACTCTGGACAGAAATAAATGTTAAGAAGTTGCATAAGTTTATCGAAACAATGCCATGGTGTATGTGTGCCGTAATCAAAGCTTGAAGGCGGTCCAATGAAATTTTAGAGTGTGTGATTTTTTTTGTTAGCCAGGCAGTGTATAGAATAATGCTTTGCCGCCCAAATCAAGTCGTATGCAACCTTAGATCAGCCCACACAGCCCCACTATCCTGCCAAAGTCACAAAGCCTAACTAGCTTATAGTATATGTAAAGCCGAAACATTTTTCTTTTTTTTTTTTCATCTCTATGCCCTAGTGACCATTGTAATTAGAACTGGCAGTTAATGAAACTTCAAAATACTGAGCTCTCCCCAGAACAGAAATAGAAAGAAAAACTTTCAATAGGGACACTTGTGTTGATAAATGTCTAATAGGACATTTCCCTGATGTTGAATAGATTTATTCTCATTTACTTTTGCGTCTACAGGAGAGGAAGTAAAGGGAAATCTCTCTATAGGGACACAGAAGATAAAAAATTGTAGGAGTTTTAACTCCATACTTTATCCAAAACAAACAGAAATCCATGTGGTTATTTATATATTTTAACTAGCAAAAATGTTTAAATATTGATGTACTTTCCGTCATTTGAGCAGCCACAGGGCCTGATAGTGTGGTTAGAAATAATACATAGTTGCCTAAAAACAGTGGTGATCTTTCAGCATTTATTAGAGCATCCAATGATGTTTTCATTGATTTTTTATATTAGTATTTTCTATACTTTATACTGAGTAAAGCAGGAAGAACATATACGGTTATACTTATTATGAGGCGAGCAGAATAACAATCATCCTGTGTCTTTGCTGGTCCTATATATCCCCTTTTGCCTTTTTTATTCCCAATGCACCCGGAATGTTTGTATCTTACCCTTTAGAAGAGCTGTCAGGATGGCCACATCAATGTCTTGTTGTTCTTCAGACTCTACATCATAAATGGTAATCTGCAAGAGGGAAACAATCTAAAGTATTTCATTTTTATACCACAAATCCAGACATTTAAAGTTGAACTTCAGGCAAATATATCACTTTGGATTTAAATCATTTATTGGAGGTTGATTATATTTGTTTTCAGCATTTAGACATACTTTTTGTTTGATATATTAAGAGAGGTTCAGCGCGGTGCATTGTTTTAAGAATTTCACACTACATAGTTGGCACGGCAGCGGACTTTATATAGTTAATTTTGACACTTAGCTTATTGGTATCCATTTAGCGTGGATTAGCTGTTGTAAAAATATAAATGATAGCTATTTATTCCAGTAACAAATTCAGTTAATGGACGTTCGAATAAAGCTTGTATAAATACATGCATTGGTCTTCATAACAGCTCACTGTACATAAAGTTTCACATTTACAGATGGGGACAAGCAGCTTAAGCCAACCACTCTCTGCTAACCTCAGGGTTGCATTTAGTCATTGTGCTGCTCTAGGCATATCTAAATGATAACATTATTTTGTACAACCTCCACCTCATGATTATTTTATCAGAAAGCTGCCGCTTAAATGCACTAATAGGGGCAGCATGGATGCTGCTCTATTTGCAAAACTACTAACTTTACAAACCACATAAAAAGAGAAAGAATAGATGGTTTCACATCTATCATTTGAACTATAAAGAACCTACTGATGCCTCTGAACATCCACCTCATTCAATTTACCCTTTAATTATCTTACTGACCCCATCAAAGTAGTATTGTTTGACTACACTGGAGAAAGCTGAGAATACTGACCATACTGTGATGTGCACTCTGCTTCTGTTGCACTCTTTGGTATGGAGAAGAAGACAGGGGGAGGTTTCTGTAGCTCTGTTCTGTTTAACGATGCTGCTCCTCCATAGATACAGTACAGGGAGTGAGCTTTGTCACCCTACTAGAAAGCTGAGAATACTGACTTTCCTGTGATGTGTGAATGGAGCGCCTGGATGTCAAGTTTGGCTAAAGGGAAATACCAATCTAGCAAATAAAACAGTCATTGTATATAGAGTATAGATGTGTATCTAACTATTTGCCTGTCTTCTAGAAGGAGAAACAGTCCAGATTTACCAACTATTTTAGCTTAGAGGATTTAACACCCTACTAGAACAATGGCATCTGCAGAATGTACTGTATTTAATAATGACTGCAAAAAAGGACAATAACATGTAATACACTATAGATCTGGTTACTGCTGAGCATGCATGGAAATAATAAGCTCCCTTCATACCAGTGGAGGAAAACAGTCAAGTTTAGAAAAATGAAGAAAGTAATGACTAAAACATTTATAAAATGTTAAACCATTAAAGAGGACATGGTATTATCTAATGATCACTCGGTTTACATGTATATCAGCAAAGAGCAAATTATAACATGAAGATGCAGTGCGCTAAAAACACATTATGCAAATAAAAGTTCAAGAACATTCTAACTATGGGCACAGTTATTCTTGCTCTGGCTATCTTTAAAATATTATTTTGAATAAGTAAAATAAGAAACTAACAGTTTGACAAAAAAAAATGTAATTCCACTCTTGCCAATAAACTCACGCATTTCAATTTACATTCCTTCCTACATTCAATTTAGCAGAAAGTAAATGAATGATAGAATGACTTACAGAATCCCGGTACTCCATACACTCAAGTAGAATACATAAAACATGATTAGCTTGTCTATGACCGAGATTAAATGTTTTCTGAATCATCTGCAAGATTTCATCCTTTAAGTGTGGAGAGATTTCCCTGATGGAGACAAAGATGACACAGGTGTTATTACAATGTGACATGGTCTACTGGAGGGAAGTAACCTAATGCAACCAGTTATAAACTTTCAGCAGCTTTTAGATAGAAGAATGTAATAAGAAAAATGGAAATGTTAATCTGTATTTGGTTAAGTCACTCCACTTCAATGCTTTTGGGTTTCACCTACTTTTAACGTTCAAAAACATGGACAGTAGACTCAACTCATATAGGTAACAAACCAGGATAAGCATTTTTATTTTCAAAAAGGTGAAAATAAAAATGTTTGTCCAGGTATTCAAGTCCCCAATGAGATTTGAATATTACAGTCACATGGTAAAAATAAAGATCTTCATCCTGGTGTTAAAGCTTTTTAAATTGAGCCTTTTGTACAGTATATATAAAGATTGTACCGCTACATATCTAATTCTGTAGGTAAAGGTTTGTATTCCATGAATTAGGAACATTTACCAAACTTGTTGACCATTAAATTATAATATTTTACTGCTGGCTGTCATTAATACAATTAACCTACAGTGTGTGTATATATA